TTTTTTTTTTTTTTTTTTTTTTTTTTTTTTTTTTTTTTTTTTTTTTTTTTTTTTTTTTTTTTTTTTTTTTTTTTTTTTTTTTTTTTTTTTTTTTTTTTTGTTGAAAAGAAACGGCTTTCTTTGAGATAAACGAAAGAATATAAAAGGATATACACTGTATACAAAAGGACCGCCGAACAGGGAGAGGCCAACTATTAACTGTACAAAAAGTGCATTCGTTCAAAATGATAAGATTAGATGGGAAGACAAAATTTTTATCCCAGATCACTTCTGGTCCTTCAAAACACTATTATTCCTCTCAATCTGAATGCCCCAGTATGGTTTATGGGGTGCAATTCATATGGTTGAAGGAGAAAACTATAAACTTAGATAATTTTTACTGTGTATTTAAATTTGTCAATTCTAGATGATCTCGTGTTAGATGAGGTCTAGTTAGGGTAGAGCCAACCAGTTTACATAAAGGTGTAACCAGATGCATGGTTTTTTTCATGGAAGAGGTCAGACAAAGCAGTGAGGAGAAAGAAGGATGCCTACGTTACATCAGGGACAGCTTCAGTAATTAGAAACTCCCCAAAATTTTCTAGATTAATGATGGATAGTTTGTTGGAAGAGATTTGGTGTGGTCTCTAATCTCCTAAAATAACTCAGTGTCATCTTTTACCATTTACATTAAGAAGGGATGATGTCAACTCGCTCATGCTTGTTGATGTCCCACCTCTCTAATTTTACAGCAAAGTCGCTGATGGTATTCCAACCCTTATAACTGTACAACTGCCTCACAAAATCCTCGCACCGCATCACCAGAAAGGATTTAGCTTAACATTATCATTTGTACAAGGACATCTTTTACCAATTCATCTTGTATATTTGTTCTTTGACTAAGACAATGTTTCTTATCCAGAACTGGGTTGGGCCTGCCATTTAGCATACGTATTTGTGTGAGAAGAGCTGAAAAGAGAGAGTAGTAAGGAGATCAGATTAACTCATGCAAAGTAGTAAGCAATGAATGTGTGGGGGTGGGTAAGATTGATGTATATAGCTTATGGGAATGTACGAGTGAGGTAGGCAGATTTTAGAGGTTTTCTGGGAGGCGAGGAGCTCTCATGTTTGGCTTACACAACGAAATAGTCACTTTGAGTTCAATCAAATGTATGTACACATTTTAGTTCATAATTTGTCACCTTGCTACAAGTTTTAATGAAACTAGCTATTCTTTTTTGGGCAGAATGAAACGCTGATAGCAATTAAAGCTCCTCATGGAACCACATTGGAAGTTCCTGATCCCGATGAAGTAATGGGCATAAAGTTTTAAGAAAGCTATTTGTTATGCTTGATATTCTTTTGGTTCCCTTTTATCTGATAACTCAGAGAATGTTCTCATTTTCGTCATGCTAGGCTGTTGATGATCCACAGAGAAGATATAGAATAGTTCTTAGGAGCACGATGGGTCCTATTGATGTATATCTTGTCAGGTATCCTTTTCTCTACATCATTGAGTTGTCCTCTTCAGGGGCTGATCTTTACAATAGATTATATTCCTTTGGGAGCTACTTAAAGTGATGGTTCATTTATCCATTTTCCTGCCTTTCTAGTCTTTCTTATTTCGTAACTGCTACCATTTATTATGTCAACAAGAATTTAATTGTTTTTCATCTAAAAATTCTCCTTTTTTCTTAGTCAATTCGAGGAAAAAATTGAGGAGATGAATGTGGTCCAGACACCTAGTAGCTTCCTACATGCTTCCAGTTCAGGATCAAACGAACATCTAGCAACAGAAGCAATTATTGGGGAGAGCGGTAGAAACGAAATCGAACCCCAAGCTCAACTGTCCCAGTACAGCAGCATCTGTGATGTGCATGGTTCAAACGAGTTTCCTGGTGGAATGATGAAGATTATGCCTTCAGAAATTGATGTAAGCATATCATCCTTAAATATTCAGAAGGGCGACTACATGCTCTTTTTTTGGACACACTTTTGAACAAAATCTATTTATGCTAGCTTCAGCTTATTTCTACTATATTATTGCAGAATGATGCAGATTACTGGCTGTTATCAGATGCTGAAGTTAGCATTACAGATATGTGGAGAACAGATAGTATCCTTCTTTAAAATTATCTTACAACTACCGTTTTGTCATGCACGTCTTAATAAATCTCAAAAAGGGGAGAACCCATAGAAAAAACAGTTGAATTCTTTCACTTCAGCTATAGCAGATATTGTATGGGATCAGTCAGATATGGTTCCTCATGACTTTATAATATCTGATGTTAGCGCCCAAAGGCCAAGACCAGTAAGCCCGCATTCAGAGAGGGGCGGAGTGCCATCTGATGTTAACTTAAGACAAAGGTGACAAAGAAGCAGATCCGACTTAATCCATTAGCTACCTGTTCCCATCCTCATTACTCCTCAAGATGTTGATTTGTAGCCACACAAAAAGTTAAATCTTACTGGAACTCAAGCTCAACTGTACAGTGTAATTTTTATAGCCCAAGAAATATACTGTGGAAATTTTCCAAGCATGATAAAGAATACATTTGGAGGTTAGTATTTGCATATGTAATCTCATGCCAATCTCATTTCTGTTTGACTGTTGATGAACTCGGATCATTTTCAGGAAATAGAAGCAAACTTTTGAAAGGATGCAGATGGTAATATAGGTTTCCAGACATTATCAGGCCAGCAAGAGCATCAATGCACTGGTAAACCTTTTAATCTTCAGTTTCAAATCCATTTAAACAATAAGGGGTTTGGGATATCTGATAAGAGGAAGAAATAGTTTGATTTAATTGAAATCTTGTGACAATGGGTTGAATTTTGTTTTGAGTTAGCTGTTTGTTGTTAGCTGAAGATTGTGGAAGCCAGAGTCCTAGAGAACTCCATAAAGTCTATTATTATCAAAAACTTCTTCGATGCTGCTTCCTTCCATTAGGGGCGAATCAATTTAGGACATCTTAGTGACAATTGATATGACATAAGTGATTTTGATCATTTCAAAATCAATATTAGTCGGTTGGAGTTGGTTTTAACGACAAGATGGAATAGATTCAAATCATGGTGGTTATTTCTTTAGAATTTATTATCGTACGGTTATAATGACATCTATATGAAGTGAGGTTATTATCGTACGGTTATAATGACATCTATATGAAGTGAGGTTAGATAGTTATTTCGAAAAAATAGTCAAAATAGTCGAACCATGCGTAAGCTGGCTGTGAAAATTTAAAGGCAATGCACTGACCCATCTAGCCTGCGTGGATCCCCCAACTTTATATCTTAGTATGTTGTCTTTCACTAAGTTTGGTGGAGATCTGAGTCGAATGGGACAAAAAATTGCTGATTGTACTAGTTTGGGGTTGGTATAATAGTTAATCTATTTGTTTAAATATTATTGGGCATTTTAATATATTCATGAATTTGCTTATTCAATCTATAAATAAAAAATTAATTTCATTAACTAATTCCATTTTTTGGTCTCAAAATGTCTGATAAGCTTGATGTGGGGTCAGGGATTTTTAAAATTGGACAATGCCCAATTACCTGTATATTAATATTCTCGTGTTCCTATCGTGCATTTGTGAGAAAAATATTATTTCTTTTTAAATCGACCCTCTTATTTCTTTTTAAAAGTGGAAAGTCACTTTATTTCAAATTTATTTTTTGTTTTTAATTTTTACAAGTTAAGTTTTCATAATTACTTTAATTTTTGAGAAAAATATTTGAATTTAAAGATGACCCTTTGATTTTTTAAAATCAAGTTTATAAAATATTATTTCTAATTACGAGATTATTTGACTTGTTATAAGTAATAAAAAAACTCATTCCTAAAAATAAAATACTTTTTTTATTTTAGATTTTGAGTAAGAATTTATTATTATTATTATTATTAATAATAAAAGTGAAATTAGTCATAGAGAAATAAGTACCATTTTAAAAAATAAAAAATTCAAATAATTATATAATAAAATCTATTTTATAAGTTTTCAAAACTAGGCTTAGATTTTAAAAACGTGAAAAGTAGATAAAAATAAACTCTATTTTAAAAATCCCATAGTTATTAGACCTTCATAATTTTTTTTTATTTTGTTTCTAATAAATAAAAAAAGAAACCATTTGTTAATTTTTAAATATTTGGGATCAAGTTATTTTTTATCTGGTCAACTCATTGATTTTATAATTTTATTTAATTGGAAAAAAAAAAAAAAAAAAAAAGAAGTGAAAAGGATAACACGTCAGCAAGAGATGAGTACGGCCAAACGATTGCAAATGCTAAGCCGCCGAGTTTTGCCACTTTTCCTCTGACCAAAAACCATAACCATCTTATTCTCTCTCTATAACCTTTTTTTCTTTTTTTAACTTCCATGGCTGATTCCGCCGCACAAGAAACCTACGCAGCGCCGTCGTCACCTGCCTCGATTCTCAACCGCAGAACCTCGATTCCTTCCTCCGCTATCATGCCCCCACCAAACGTCGCCGTTTCCCCTCCTCTGTCCTCTCCGATCGACTTGAGGATCCTCTCCTCCAAATCCTCTTTTCAATCCTACACCTCTCTCAAGGACATCCTCCCCTCCGCCGCCTTCAACTCTCCCACTGCCGCATCTCCGGCCAACTCCGGCTACGAAATTTCGATCCGCAACCGCCTCGTTAAGCAAGCCGCTTGGGCTTATCTCCAACCTATGTCCGCTTCTTCCTATTCCACCGGCTCAAATATCTTCCACCGTTTCTGGCTCCGATTCTCCGCCGCGAATCCGATCGCTAATAGTCTTGGATTCATCAGAGGTAGTATCATTCCGGCCATAGTCCGAGTCATTCGGTTCTGCATTTGCTTGTGACGCCTTACTCAACCGCTGTAATTGACCTAGATCGACGCCGACTTCCTCAGCCGCTGTAATGGAGATTGATGGATTTGATTCCGCTGTATAAATCCCTTTTATTCTCATACAGAAATTTGCATCCAATCCCTAAGGATAATTTATTTTCGCAAATACATTCATATATTCAATCTCAACATTCTAATAAATTCGCAGCAAAAAATTCCTGTTTCGATTTCCATCTCTCTAATTAATTTGCATCGATTTTTCTTCGTTTTTGTACAGCTTTCCGGCAATTACAAACATCTGAGTCGTGATTTTAAGACCAACGAATTCGATATGGAATTTGTTTCAGAGTAAATTAAAATTTGATAAATTTTAAATTCAAATTTTAAAGTTCTACCAGGTCGATTTAAGCCTATTTGCCCTAATTTGGCTTAGTCAAAGTCAAATTTAAAGTTAATATGCTGAATGGATTCTTGCCTACATTATTGTTCCATTGATCGTGCATCGCGTTACCATCTTGTCAGCTACACGTCTTTTTCTTCCACTTCTCTAGTTGAATCTTCGAATTTGTCATATTTCTGTTCACACCTAGCTTCACTTTACGCGCAATACTTCACTGGCTCCAGTTCTCGAAGCAAACCACGGGGTAGTTCGTCCGTCATGATCAAGAATTATGAATGCCTACGGAGTTGTTCTAGCCGCCGTATCACATAAATCCATTGTGGAAGTAAGAATTGGCTTCAATTTTAGTTTCTTTCAGTATAGTATAATAAATCCTCAATTTTATTTTTAATTTTTAATTTAAAGGTATTATTAAAATAAGGTTAAATATTAACTGTAAATTTCTTGCAACGTGGACGGATCTCTACATTAATGAGTCAGTTACACTCTTGTAAGTACTTTAACGGAAACAGGAAAATAAAAAAATAAATAATTTACCACGTATTACACACACGTGGGAGGGGGAAAAAGGCCACGTAGGATATCCAAGCTTGGCGTAAAATAAATTTAATGTATTTTTTAAAACATTTTTGGAAGTTTAATTTTTTTAAGTTAAGAAATAAGTTCATTTTTTTAAAATATATTTATAAAATGAAAAAAAAAAAAACTTTTGCTTTAAGATCACATAATAAAAAATATTGCTTTATTTAGTAAATTTAATAATTTAATAAGATTGAAATTTAAAATTCATTCCAAACAATTATTATTATTATTATTATTTAGGTTAAAATACATTAAACTTCCACTCCTTATTCAAAATTTTCCAATTTCACTGTTGTATTAAAATTAAAAAAAAAAATTGAATTATATCGTCGTTAACAAAATAAAAAATAAATAAAGGAAGTGGAGAGGTGGGCTGGGCTGGGCTCAAACATATGCAAAAGCTCAAAATTAAAGGCCCAGATAAAAGCCCAATAAGTACATATCCACATAAAATTTCCTTCTTGTTTTTTTTTTATTTATTTTTTATTTTTTTTTATTTCTAAATCATCAAAAAACTAAATTTAATTTAATTAAATTTTTAATAATTCTTCCCAACCTTACCAAATATTAGGCATATAAACCTACTTTCATCAATATTTTCTTCAATTTCTTCAATTAAAAATTTTAAAAATTTAAACCTCACGTACGAGACATTAGAACGGTGGTGGCTGGCAGTGCTCTCATTCTCAATTAGAATCTTCATTTTGATAGAAAATCGAGAGAAGATAATATGAATTGCGGCGATTTCTAGAGAAGTAGAGGGAAGGCATGTTCTTGAATCTTCCTTCACTCACCGTTCGATCCATCAATCTTCCGTTTTTCTTTTCATCGGTTCTTTGGTTACCCAATTGTTCATTCAGGTTGAAGAAATTTTCTAGGTCTGCGTTCGTCCATATGGGTCAAGAAGTTCTGAATCCTTTTAGTAGATGGCGCGCGCAGTTTCGTTTGTGCAATGTATCAGGGTATTCGATTCTCGTTTTTTTCATTGAAATTTCTCTTGGAATTGTGGTTTTCCATGAATTAAATCGCCTTTCGTTTCTGGATTTTGTTAGTTATACTAATGAATTGCTGGAGATTCATGCGGATGATCCATCGTTGCACGTATTGTTCATACCTGGAAATCCAGGTGCATATGCTTTTGTTGATTTGGGATTTCGATGCTTCTTTTGTTTTTTGCATAATTTCTGAATGGGTTTTGTTCTAAGACAGGAATTGTTTCATTTTATAAATATTTTGTTGAATCCCTGTATCAGTTGCTTGGGGGCCGTGTATCTATTACAGGCAAGACATGAATTGTTGGCATTGTTCTTATAGATAACATTAATTTTTTTACATCTGGGCTGATACTTTTTCTTTTTTTGGCCATCCTTTTGTATACTATCAGCTATTGGTCATCTATCTCAAACGACGAAGGTACTTGCACATTGGTCGTATAAAGTACATATCTGCTATGCATTTTAGCTCTGGCGAGTGACAAATTCTTTTAGAAATGATGTTTTGTGCACTGCATTCTTATATATGAAGTATAAATGGCTCTATGTAGTTGGAGGCTCTTGTTTATTATGCTTAAGTTTAATGCTTCAAATTGCAAATGAGTTTATGTTGCTCGGATGCATATAATGAAGTTTGTAATGGATATTGATGTTTCTTCTGTTTTAGGACTGGGAAGGTGGAAGGTTATTTTCATTACAAGAACAAATTGATCATAAGGTAATTGTCTGTTTTCTCTGTTGATTTGATTTTGTTGTTGATAGCTCAAGGTCGAAAGTGGTCGATGAAAATACTGAAGTTATTTTATAAGCGAGCGTTCTTCATTTTGAATGTCCAAGAGAGCTGTGCAATTGGGATTATTGTTCATTTCTTTATATATGGGGCTGAACTAGATTCATCTTTCTCTTGCAGATAGAATTTGTCAGACAAGAATTACAGAGTAAAGACATTCCATTGCTACTGGTAATTATACCTTTATGATTAAAGTTTATGATCGATGTACACGATAATCATAAAAGAGTCGCACAGTGCAAAATTGTATTATTTTGATATCATCTGAATATAAATGAGTTATTCTTTTATTAGTAAGCCACTACAACCCTATTAAAATTTGATTCTAGTTTAACCCTTACACAATAGTTGCTGGTTATAGTGCTCATATTCTTCTTGTCACTTGTTAACTAAACCAAGACAATTTCACTTTTTATGTTAAGAATGAACTTGTTACAATTTTGCAAAGTTCTTCGTTACTGACTGTTTTTTCGGTAGCTGACCTGTTCGTTCTCTTTGAAGGTTGGGCATTCTATTGGATCGTATATCTCTATTGAATTGTACCGCAAGTTCCAAGATCGGGTATTGCCATAACTCTTTGTGCTTTTTATGTATTCCCATCTTTCAAGAAATGTTGTTATGGAAATTTTCCTTGAACCCATAGGTGGTGTATTGTATTGGATTGCATCCATTTATGATGGTGAACAGACAATCTCGTCAGCAATTTTTAATTGGGAAACTTGCAGGGTATGCCCGTTATTCGTTCTGATAACATGAATTATGCCTTCCTGCATCTTCATTGTCATCAAATTCTTCAATCTTTCTGATTATATGACCCTTTTAAAACCCTTCCCACTTCAATGGGTTCAAACTCAGCCTTAAGAGAGTTTCTCAGTTTTGTGTATCTTCTATATTGTTTTTGTGAGATCCCACGTCAGTTGGAGAGGAGAACGAAACATTCTTTATAAGGGTGTGGAAACCCCTCCCTAGTAAACGCGTTTTAAAAGCCTTGAGAGGAAGCCCGAAAGGGAAAGTTCAAAGAGGACAATATCGGCTAGCGATAGGTTTGGGCTTGGGCTGTTACAGTTTTCTTCTGCCAAAGATTAATATTACACTGTAAGGCTGACAAGACACTTTTGAGCTACAGATCCCGTCTTCTATCAACTTTGTTTTCATCTTTTGTCGCACTGTTGGGTGTATTACCGAGCCGAGTTTCAAGTTTTGTTGTGGGTAAAACTATTGGGAAGTCATGGTCCAGAACTGCAAGTGAGGCTGCTTGCACTTATTTGCTAAAGGTGAAATGAAATCTAATGTATTATTTATATTATATGCATTTTTAGTATCCTCTTGAAACTGCTATAAATTTTGATTCTAGGATAATGACTGTCTGTTCTGATATTTGGAATATTATCTTTGTGTTCTACAGTACCATGTCATGCGAAATATTCTATTTATGGCGTTGACAGAGTTCGAGAAGGTATTCACTATGAAAAATCGCATTAGTATATATTGGATACCATGGCACTCCTAACACTTGTTGCTCATATCAGACATTTGTATCATTGAAGTCTTTGTTTCCGTGGCAGTACAAAGCGTAATATCAATATTTAGTCGAATCTCCTCATCTCATTGTGTATGGACATTGTTTAGCTTTCAGAAACACCAGATTGGGGATTCATGAAGAAATCGAGTCGGAAATTATCATTTTTGTTCTGTATGGATGACCACTGGGCTCCAATGCATGTGTTTGAGGAGGTAGGATATAGAACCACTTTTCCATTTTATCAATCATTTCTGCTGCATGCATGTACGTTTGCCAAATATTATCGTCGTGTCGTTTTATTGTGATTAATGCTAGGTTATGAAGAGTTTAATCAATGGATATACATCGTTATATATGTTACACAAATGGTTAAAAATAGCTATGCATAGTAAAAAGCTATATCTGGTAAAATAGCAAACTGACATTAGTGTTTTGAAAATGTACTCTTTGCATTCTATTCTCCCAGTACATACTTGAGGTCATCAATATAAATGTTTATTCAATATTTCTCATTGCAATTGCATTTTCTCTCTGATGTTCTTTGTGTTCATCTAAATCGAGTGTATGCGTTGTTGTGCGATTCTAATAATTAGAAAGTACAATGATAGTCGGTTTGAAATATTATGAACTCCTTGCTATGCATCGTGAACAACTTCAAATAGCAGGATTGAAAAAGTAATAATTTGAAGCTTAAAACTGCAACTGATATAGTGAATTCAAGTTCTAGTGTTGTTCTTGTTTGAGTTTTGTTTTCTCCACAGATATCGAAGCAGATCCCGGAAATGGATGTATCAGTCGAAAGGGAAGGTCATACACATGCATTTTGCTGCTCTGAAGCTGGCTCACTCTATATTGCTCAACATGTGGCAAGCTTGATCAAGAATCACATCTCAGATTAAGGTCAGATTCATTCATTCCTTCCTTCTTACTCCATTAGAGACTTCCTTTGTGTTTTATATCGGATGTTCGTTCTTAACGTTTTGTAGTAGCAGCGCATGCTTTTCGACAACGTACGTCACCCCATACACTATCATTCCTATAGAAACCTCATGTCGTCAAACAGGAAAATAGAAGGCAAGGAAGGAACAATGGAAGCACACATTGGGTTACTGAGTCCGTTTGAATAAGTGTCGAATATCAGAATGTTTATAGGTTCATCCAAGAAATCATCTTGTTTTTGAAACTCATGGAATTAATCTACTTTGAAGTCATAAATAAGTGATAAATGTTACCATTTTTTACCTTGATACTTTCAATAAGTTTAAAGTAAATGTTACATAGAACCAAGATTAAGGTAAATATTATAATTTTTTACCGTTTTATTTCATTTTTGTTTATGTATTTTTAGTTGTCTAAATTTACTCTCTATGAAGCTTAAAATTGGCTCCTACAATTATTTCAAAATTTTTTTTTTTTAAAAAAAAAATTAGTTAAATATAATAATAAATATAATCATTATTATTATTATTATTATTTTCTTTCAATTATTCTAAATTTTATATATTAAGTTATAAATTCTCATACTAAATTGAGTTGAATGACTTATTATTAATTTTAAATATACAATTTTGCTTTTGTATATACATATCTTTACTTTACTTTATAATTATTTATTCTTTAATAATTTTTAATTATAAGATAATTTTTTAACCATATATTGAAATTAAATTAAAAAATTATTATTATTTGGATTGAAAATTTTAGAAACCAAAAAATCCAGATAGAATAAAATAAGAATTTAAATTAAAAAAAGAAAATAAAGAAAGAAAGAAAGAAAAAGTAGAGGTTTGCGGAGTCCGATAAAATCCGAACGACAGCGACGTCCAAATATAAATTCCCGCAAACGGTTTTGTTAAACCCATTATTCCCAATACGCTCTCTTCTCTCATCCTTCATCAATGGCTACTCGCCCAAGAAACCTCCAACTCACCTCCCTCTCCGTCGATCTCAACATCTGCAGACCAAAGCTGTCTCACCTCTTCCACCTCAAGCCGAAGCCCTCCGCCAAATCCCCTTCCCTCCACCACTTCTCCGACTCCGACTCCGAGACCAGAGCCTCCATCACCTTCCGCGGCTTCGGTAGAAGCGGCGGCGAGAGCGTCGCCATCGAGAAGGACTCCGACGATCCGTACCTGGATTTCCGGCATTCGATGGTCCAGATGATTCTGGAGAACGAGATTTACTCGAAGGACGACTTGCGAGGGCTTCTTCGTTGTTTCTTGCAGTTGAATTCGCCTTCTCACCATGGAATTATAGTTAGGGCTTTCGCTGAGATTTGGGACTCTGTTTTCTCCGCCAGGTCCCCTGTTTCGCTTCCGATCTTCCGCTTTTGAATCCTAGCCGTCCGATCAATTTAAGATCTCGTTTTTTCTTTTTCTTTTTTGTTGAAAAAAAAGCTTTTATTTTTTTCAACCGTAAAAATTCTCTTCCACTTTTCTTGTTTCTATGAGTGTCTCTCCCACTCCTTTATATTTAATTTTACTATATTTTCTTTCCATTTTTTTTAATTCTTTTATTTTTAATATCTTAAAATACACCCTTTTTTTTTTGTTTACTACATTATAGGATTAATTTAAATAATATTAATCCGATCATTGGTTTAAATAATATTAAATATTAACCTGATTTATATAGTCATATTGGTTAACACATTCAACCTCCAATTAACGGTTTAAAATATTGTTTTATTTTAAAAAATACACTATGTGAGATCTTGTAGCTCTTTTTGTTATTATTTAAATTTTTTATTTTTGTCTAATTAAAATGATATTAATAATAATAAAAAAATTCATGGTTTCTCATGCTCTCTCTCTCTATATAAAAGTAGTATAAATTTTTTTAATTTGGATATGTATGAACTATATATAAACATTTCTAATAAAGAAAATAATAATAAAATTCCAACCAATGTATGATTTATTGAGAATATCAATGCATAATATCTAAAAATAAATCTTGTTGAGAATAAAATATTTAAATTTTGTGAGAATTACGGTATATGAATTAAAAATAAAAATAAATTAATATGAATTTTGTAAAATGGACCAATTGGAATATTAAAAAGGCAATGAATATGTTGTTTAACGGTCAAAATCCATTTTTAAACATCAAAATAAAATAAAAAATGGTACGATTTCTTACCTTGAAACACCAGTTTAATTTTTTATTTTAAAAATTTAATATTTTTAAAAATATGTACATGTTTAATTTGATTCTTCTTTATTGTCTTATAATTTTAATTTAATCAGTAATGTTTTAATAATTTCCAATTATAATTTTTTTTTCATGGTTAAAATTAGTCGATAATAAATGTATGTGACATTAAATTAAATTGAACAAATTAAAAATAAAAGGATGCATATTTATTTTCTTTCACAATTTCTAGAAATGAATATAATTTTTTAATTTATATAATAAAAATAATAAAGAACATCAATTTTTTTTTTTGTTTTTATTAAGAAAAAAAAATTCAAACAATCATTAAAAATATGCAAACCATTTGAATTTTCTCTTTCTTCCAATATATATTTACTTTAGTGTCAGTTTTTTTAAAAAAAAATTAAAAAAAATAGTATTATTACCTTTACATTGCCTTTTTTTACTTCATCCATTAACTTTTTATTGTTTTCTGCAAAATGATTTTAATTTTTTAATTCCTTATTTTATTGGAAGACAAGACAAATATATATATATTAGAACGAGAAAGGTAAAAAAAAAAAAAAATAATAATAATAATAAATAAATAAATAAATAAAAGATAAGAATAATAATAATAAGACATAAAAGTTAGTGATATTTGTGATGCCAATGAAAAGAGAGAGAATATAACTTTTGTTTTTATATTTTATGATTTTTTTATATAATTTAATTATTTACTTTTTTTTTAATGGGAAAGGAAAATGAGAGTTTATAATTTATTATTTTTTTAAAAAAATAAAAATCACCCTTTTTTCACAATGAAATATTACTTGATTATGGACAATAAAATTTCATTAATTAATTTATGATAAGACAATCGTAACCAAAATAGAAGAAAATTTCATTAACTTTTTGTTTTTAAGTTGGATTGTCGAGTTGTAGGAGCGAGAGAAGTGTGTGACTGTGATGGGCAACTAGCAACGAGCGTGGGATGACTGGATGAGGGTGTAAGGTGTTGGCTACGAATGATTGGTCTGTGAGGGTACGTCTACGAAGTGCAAGAGGAAGATCTGTTGTGTTGCCAAGTGGAAGCACGAGAGCTTTTGCGAGGGTTGTCTGGCATTTGTGAAGTGGCCGTGCAAGAGCGAGATCTATCGTATGTGAAAGAAAAAAAAAAAAAAAAAAAAAACTAATGTGTTGGACTGGTTAACTCGAAATTCGAACCAAACTCGTTCAGTTTCAAAAAGTTAACCAAAGCTAACTCAACTCAACCTTATGATTCAAGTTGGGCCAGTTTAATTTTTTGGATTTTCAGATTCGATATACATTCTTGGGTGAAATCGCTCTCATTTTTTATAAATTCCGCATCTTCTAATTTTAAAAATTAAAATGAACGACAAATAATTGGACGACTTTTAGGAATAAAGTAATGGAGCAAGTACAAATCACTAAAAAAAAATGACTATTAAGAAAACAGTTGATGAAGCTAGTTTTAGATCACGAGAAACATAAATCAATGTTTTCGATCAATCTTTATAAAAGGAAACGAAAGGTATGGTACCGTTTAAAGAGTTAGTCAAATCCAAATGAAAAGACAAAAATAATGGAAAACACGAGGGACCATGAAAACGAAAGATGAGCCATTTATAAGTATATTCGGTAAATAGTTATATATAGTAAGCTAAACCATATATATATTATTAGGATTCTTTATTCCTATACATATGTATAGTCATTCATACACAACTTTTAGCCAATATTCTCTTTGCATTTTCTCTTGTTTGCGTTCAAATAGATTGAGTGTATGTGTTGTTGTGCGATCCTAACATGCAATACTCATATATATATATATATATAAATATTTTGTTGCTATCATTGCTTTGTTTAATTTGGCTTAGTGGCTAACATCTTTACTGCTTTTCTTTCCCATCTTAATTTCAAACATGCCTCTTTTTCCTTTTTCTTTTTCTTTCTAATCGGTCAAAAACATCTCGAGCGCTCGTTATTATTATTTTTTCTAAAATTTATTGATTTTTAAAAAAAATTAAAATTAAATATTTATTGTGATTTTAAAATAAATTGTATTACGAGCGATGAATATGAATGTTACCAAAGTCTTATATTTGACTATATAGAATATTATAGATATATAAGTAAGAGACAGTATCTTCACAAATTTATGAACCAACTTAATTCATAAATTTTTTATTTATTTAAAACAAATTCAACCCAAATAAGCTCTTAACCGAGTTCAAACTGTGTACAAGTTGGATTGAATTGATTGATATTTTTGCACTTTGATGGCAGTGGACTTACGATTGTGCGGCACTCATTTCTCAGCAACAAGTGAGTTAAGTCTATTCATTCCTACGTTGCCTACGCCAAGCGACATATACTCGAGCCTCTAGCCCAGTTCAAAAAGAAAGTTTTAGAAAACAGGACAGAGAGATTTCGAAGAGAGTTTTGAAAGTAAGATTTGAGAATTTGAAATTAGTGTTATATGAGAATTTAAGCAAAATGCAACAATAACTGCTTACAATGAGTTAGTCATTGTAGATGTAGACATGATTTTAGTGAACGGTCATACTTTAGTTTTTAAAATTTTAAAAATGTTAAATATATATCTAAATTTATAATTTAAACTGTTAAAATATAATACCCAAAAAGCCCTCTACAAAATGCTGGCACGTGACATAAACTCAGCTTCCATTAGCCACAATTGTGTAAGGCCATGGCCATCACATGACCTTCACAATTGAATTTGGGTTTAATTAAATTTCAATTTGAATTTAAATCGCATTTTATCTTCTAACATCAAACTTTTCAAAATCCACCTCAAACAATCTTATCAACCATTATTAATTAATATTTATAAAAATTAATCATTAACGAATATCAAACCTTCATACCTCAGCTCTAATATTGGTTACAAACATTAAATATTCTTAATTTTTATAATAATCTTAACAGTAGGGTTAGATTGTACCCTTGTTTTCTCGAATTAGTTGGGTTGACTCTACAAAATTAATGTCAACCGGCTCAAATCGAGAAAAAAAACCTAGCTCAACTTAACTTTTATAGTTTAGATTGGATAGTCTGAATTGATCGAGTAATCGAGTCAAATGAACAATGTTCTTGATTTCGGTTTCGGGTGAATCCTTACCGATAGGGTTTTTCCCACTAAACACTTACTTTTAAAGAGAATTAATGAGTTTACTTTAAGAAAAGCCATTGCTGGGTTTTTAAGGGACATAGAGAATGGGTTCTTGTAGCTTTTTGGTGTTTTTAAGTACATTAAATTTTATTTATATCCATAAAAATTAACTATTTTTTTTATTTTAAAGTCGGTTTATTCAAAACTTCAACTCCGCTCATACGAACTCAAACCTAAAAACTAAGAAAAGCCAGACCTACCGAGTTATCGGTCCAAAAGAGTTTAAAGCAAAACTTTCCAAAAATTAGCCCCTCAATCTCGTACATTTCTAACTCAAGGAAGAAAAAAAATTCAATTTCATCTAATATCAGTCAATTTTGAACATGTCACTCATATGCATGAGGATATATTCGTCCTAATTATATACATACAAGTAACCGTCTAAGCCCATCGTCAGCAGATATTGTCTGCTTTTATCTCGTTGTCAACCTAATAAAAAATGATTCGGACATGGGTATTAATATATAATATAGGGCCTATCTTTGTCATAATTATTCTAATGGATTTATGTTTGTACAAAGCCCAAATATGAAAAAAAAAAAAAAAAAAAAAAAAAAAANGCCTATCTTTGTCATAATTATTCTAATGGATTTATGTTTGTACAAAGCCCAAATATGAAAAAAAAAAAAAAAAAAAAAAAGGAAACAAATTTTGTTTAATTCTTGAGAAAATCAATGCATTTATCATTAAATACTTCTTGGTTTTATTTCACTTTAAATTATGATTTTGTGTTTTTTTAAGTAATTTTTGTTATTTTTTTATTGACTAAATTAATAAAATATTCTTACATTTTAAATTTTAAATTTGAAAGATAACATTACTCTTTAACCTTTATAACTAAAATAATAATAATAATAATAAATCAAATTATGTTTAATAAAGGTTACGCCTCTTTTAATATTATTTTTAAAATTTTATTGGTATTTTTTTTTTTGAAGTTTTAAAAAAAAGTTTAAAATAAAGTTTTTTTTTAAAAAAATTAAAAATATTGATAAAACTTTGAAAGATGTTTTTGAACACCTTTTAAGTTAAAAAGAGTGTTTAAAAAAAAAAACTTTTTGATTTTCAAATGTATTTTTAAAGCAAAGTATTAAGGTTTTCGTCCCGAAGCTGCACGGTAAGGGCTAAGTAAAACTGAACAATCCTTAAATTCTTTTCACATGAACCGCTTGATCTTGGTCTCGGAACCCTTCGTCAAAATCTCCTTTACCTCAAATATGAGATCGAACACGTTAATAAACTCCACCTAATCCTCAATTTATAATTTAAAAAAAATTAATAGATATCAACTTGAACATAGTTCAACTGAATAAACATAAAATTAAAATCTTATTCAACACTTTTTTGTTTGATCTCTTCCTACTCGAGTTCAAACAAAGAAGAGAGAGAAGGAAGAGCAAGAACATAGGTGGAAGAAGAACTACTACTACTACCATTAGGGCCTCCAAAACAAGAATCATAGGAACTTGAAGAACACAAAAGAGAAGAACATGAAGAAGTTGAAGGAGAATTTGGAGAATAATCTCCAAAACCCACCATTAGATCCACAAAAGCTCCAATAATAAACCCATGATTTGTTTTAGAATTAGCCTTCAAATACCAACTCAAAAGCATTTCCAACCCATTCCAATCATCCTTCAACCCATGAGCTTCCACCATCTCCTCCATTGACTTCTTGAACTCCAAATAAGGCTCCTTTGAATCCATTGCCATAGCCACACTTTCCTTGAACGGAACCTGGCAGTTTCCGGCCACCTCCCCCGCCGCCGCCGCCGCCGCCATTATGGAATTGGTCTCCTCCAGCTCCAAAAATAGCCTGTTTCCTTGCCTCTGGCTTAGCCCTCTTAATAATGCTTCGATTTGTTCATCATCCGACATGTCGTCTTCTTCGTAGGCTGAGTTGATGGTTTTGAAGATGTCGTTTGAGATCCGAAAGGAGAGGGTTCTTGATTGGGTGCAGGAACGCCATAGCCATGGAGATTTGTTGACCAAATTTGGAAGCTTTTTCAATTTCTTCCCCATTTTTTGAGAGAGTTTAAAATAAAATAATAATAATAATAATAATTATGAGGAAAAGATGAACTCTTTGATTGGCATTAATGGCGGAGTCAGAGGGGGTTGTGGAAGGGAGACATCATACATACAGACTGCTCACATGTATTTTATATATATATATATATTGTAAAAATCCAAGAAAAAAAAATAATTATAGAGGTCTTTGACTTATGGGTTCGGATTAAAAAAACCCGATGTGGTTGGAGCTAAGTAGTCGAATTTGGGATTTCGGTTTGGTTGTCTTACCTACCACTTCAACTGTAATGTCTTAGGTCTAAAATTTGTATCGGGATTTGAAATTTGGACTTGATGTTTGATGGCCCAACATTTTCCGACGACATAGTCACTCCAACATGGTCACGTTGCGTGCTGGTATAAGCGGTATTTTTTATAATCCGATGTAGTCTCAGTTCATTTATAAATCCTTCTTTAATTAAGACCTCACATGCACACTAGCTTTCGTTTTAATTTGTTTCTATACCACGTTTGACTGGAGAGGTACTTTTAAAAGATTATGGACTAAACCTGCTTTAATTTCTTTAAATATTTTTTATTTGAAATTACTAGAACAAATAAATATAAACCTTAAAATTTATACATTAATTTTCTTATTCTATTTTTCAATATCACTAAGCTTTATTAATTAGGTATTAATTATTTTATAATAATTATAAATTGGATTTAAAAAAACAAAATTTCAATGGAAGTATTACCCAACGCACCAAACATTAATTTTCCTTTTATCATATTGAAAATTCAATGACGATTAAATGATGATAATACAAAATTAGTTGAACTAAATTTATCATGGAATATTTAAGTTAAAATTGGACAAATTATTGGACAAGTACAATTTTCTGACTCTAATTATTTTTTCTAACCTAAGTTTAAATTACTTATAATTATATCGTCATCGTTAATAAATATTATTCGCTTTAGTTCATTATGCATTGTCGACCGCTTTATAAGGAATGTTTAGTTTCTCTATCCAGTCGATGTGGGATCTCCAAATCCATTCCCATTAGGAGCCAGCGTCCTCGCTAACACACTACTCAGTATATGACTAATACCATTTCAAACAGCACATGGCCATCGCTAGCAGATTTTGTCCGCTTTAACTCGTTACGTATCACTATTAATCTCACAATTTTAAAATGTGTATATTAGGAAGAGGTTTCCATACCCTTTATAAGGAATGTTTCATTCCCCTCTTCAATCAAGGTGGGATTTCGAGAGATTGTAGGTTCAAATTTCTACCTCTTATACAAATTTACTTTAGACTACTAAATTTCGAAGTACCGATATGGAAGCTCTTCAATTTCGAAGTATCGACATCAGAACTCTTCAGGTCAAAATTGAACCATTTATTCCGAGATATAGATTTATCATTTTTTTAATAATTAAAAAAATACATTAAAAGACCTAAGATGTTGGTTGTGTTTAGTTGAATTTAGGTTAAGGTTGGAAGTTGGGAGTGTTTGATGTCGACATTGGCAAAGGTGGCCCAATCTTTATGCCTCCTCCTATCTCCTTCACTTGTGAGAGGAGAAAGTTTTTGTTTTATATGAACATGGCCACTTTCCCCTTAAAAAAAACCAATCAAACAACATCATGTTCTATCTTTTCTTTTAATTTTTTACATAAAAAAATTTATTGGATATTTCTTGTACAATAGTTTGTAGACTTGTATTTCTAAGTCACGTGTATTGTGTTTGATATCGAATTTAATTATTCGAGATATAGAATTTGTATGACACGAAAATTTAACGTCATCGATAGAAACACATATGATACACTTCAACTAAAATTTTATTTTATTTTCCTATAATGATATTTTGATCTTACAAATACAATAGTTAAGAATGCTTAAAAGATTGATAGTTACTATCTATACTAAACAAAATGCGGTTTTAAAGTTGGAGCATTCCTGTAGTGAGTGACCTAAAATTTTTTCGAGAAAGGTGTTAATCAGAACAAAATATGCTATAAAAAAGGACCTGTGTTGGTTCATGGGGTAGTCTTCACTTTTAGAAACACTTTAAGATAAGTAGGTAACAAAGTCATATTTCAAGAGATGTAGTGAAACGTCTAGGTCATCAATGTCGAATCTGAATTCCAAATTCTGGGCATGGAGATAGAACTAGTGAATAGATTAATTAAGTTATCACAAGTGTTTTGGAGAATAAAATTTAGGATATTTTGAGACATTTTCTACGGTCTTAGGTTTAAGTCTACAAATCAAAAACTCGTATATTTAGCGTAAAACTCTTGTTGTCTCTTGAATTAGAGCAAGCCTCGAGGTACGCAAATGCTCTCCGAAGGCTAAAAAAGACTAGAAGAATAGGGTCTCGATACAGAGTTATTGGAAGAAAAAAGAAAAGAAAAGGTAGGGTTAGGGGAGCTAATAGAATTAGTGTAGAGGAGAAGGTGGTCCAAAGGTGCACATGGATGTTTTAAGGGTCACCATTCCAATTGGCTATTCAATTTTCCATTTGGAGAGCAACCAAACAAAGTACACAACATGGCTTCATGACCCACAATCTTTTCTTTTTCTTTTTCTTCCAAGAATGGTACCTGATTTGACATGGATTTGGAGAGAAGAAGATCTTAGTGAAGTTATTATTTTTTTAAAAAATCCAAAGAGATAGCTGGAAATATATTATTATAAGATCTAAGTTCTAATAATGCTACAAATAATGTAAACTAATACATTATTAAAACAAATAGAGGATTGAATCTGCATTTGTGTCTGCACTATATATTTCCTAATAATGGAGGATTGAATTAGTGAGAGCAATCACAAAAGTAGGATAGGACCCATAACAACTCACTTTATACATATCTTAGAATGTAGGACCCATTGCAGAAGTGACAGGTTGATATCTGACTTTCTATCCATAACAATAAACAATAAAAATCACAACATAATTGTCAAAAAGCATTAAAAAAATTGTAAAAATATAGATTAAATTAATAACGTATCCCGTGCATAAGGATCTGAGCACAACTAGATTCGTTAAAATGTATATCTTAGACCAAAAGGAAAAGTTCTAGTTCAAATCTCCCACATGTACCATGAACGAAGCTCAGTTCAGTTATGCTATCAGTCTCGATATAAATAAACTTTTCCGAGTTAACAACATTCACCAAAGATTGAGAAAACTTCATTTAGCTTCTTAAACAAATTTGTACTATTTCTGAACCTTACTAGAATATTACGTCACAAATGTGACATTACGAGGATTTAATTCAGTTCTGCCCCTTCTGGTAACATCATTTGAGGATTAGCTCTCGTGGTTTGATCTTTGGTTCTCCCAAAAAAAAAAAAACTTCATACCAATAGAGATAGTCTCCCTCATTTTATGTACCCATGATCTTCCTTCTATTTAGCCAATATGAGACTCCGACATAAATTAGAAACGATTATTCAACCGATGAAGACTTTCCTAACCTGAAAGCTAGTCTGCAAAGTCATTCAATGTTTTTCTTAAACATATCATAAGAACTAGTATGTAAATACAAACCCAAATAACAATTGTATGGACTCGAAGGACTTCAGAGTTGTCAGTACATCAGAGTAGAATCAAAGTTCCTGTGCTCAGTATTCTGGAATGCATACACAATGAGACTTGTTCATATATGCCTCATAAAAATGCCAAATAAAATAGTTCAGTAAGTGCTCAGCTAGAGAACAAGAAGGAATTTGGAGAGTCAAAATTAAGAGTCTAGACTCTAGAGAGGCAAAACTAACTTGGTTAATGGATCGGGAACTTTAGTATGATTAGAGTGCTTAATTTCACTAGAATGTCTTATAGTTCTTGCTAATGAAATTGCAGTCTTGGTTCTGAAACTTCAATTTAGAGTTAAGAATAAAATGAGTTTCAGTTTTGTTGAGGTGAAGTGTTCTTGTTTTCTTCCTCTCACTTCACTCGTGATATTCTCCAACCATTTATCCTGGGAGTAAATATTTTAGCAAGGGAAAGAGAGAAACTCATTCCCGAGCTATCATTAAGGTTTCTTCTAACCATTGGATTCTATCCAAGCTCCTCGAGATTCAAAGTTACCGTAATGGTGTCTCCTTCTGGGCCAACTTGAGATACGAACTTGAGCGTATCTCAACTATTTTCACACAGCAACCACCTAACTCTACAACATTTGATTTCCAAGATAATTAGTAGGATATTAAGCCTCAGGTAGGTCAGCCACCAAAGCTTGAACCCATTCCCTCTTTGCCCTTTACTATTTACATGGTTCTTATTGACCCATATAGATGAATAGAAACCAAAAAAAAAAAAAAAAAAAAAAAAAAAAAAAANAAAAAAAAAAAAAAAAAAAAAAAAAAAAAAAAAAAAAAAAAAAAAAAAAAAAACTCACCTCCATTAATTGTCCATTCTAGAACAAAGATTCTAAAGGTCATTCTCAAATCTCAACATCACAATTATCATCAAGGATAAGAATCCATTTACTCTCTATACTTTTACTTGAATGGTTTAACATTTTTCAAGCAAATGCCAATATGGTAAGCTAATATGAACCACATAACTGTCACCGTTGTGGTATTAGTCATAAGTAGATTCTTATATTCTTCAAGAGTAGCCACTTTCTTCTTCTTGTAACTACATGAAGCATAAATACCACAAATCTTAGTGCATTCTCATAAATGTGTATAAACCAAAGAAGGCATCAAGTCTTGAAGCCAAAAATCGGCTCCTACAAGAACCACTGGATGTAAGTCGCAGGAACCAAGGGTAATATCCTAAAGCTTAATTCCCATATCATCCAGCATTGAGGGGATAGGCAGGAATGGGAATAAAAAATGGATTTGGCGATATAAAACCGGTAGATCCTAGCACTGTGTAAAGAATCATCAAATAAATAAGAACATGTCAATTGTCACTAATTTACAATAACAATCCAAAAGAATGATCACGATATCTGATGATGATGCTACCCCAAATACAATATTCTAACTCAAAGGGGGAAAATGTGATCAAACTTTTGCCCTAACCATGTCAAATTAAATCCAGAATTCTTCATAGTACCTATAATCTCACAACCTCCACAATCCTAACAACATCCTGTTAATCATCCTTCATAAATTTATAGCTCAACAGATTTCAGTTTTACAAAAAATAAAATATATCAACCAATTGAACACAATCATGAGTTCATGAACTAAAATGGATTTGACAGAAACGAAAATCTTAAAGCGATAGATTAAACATCAAAACCATTAAAATTACCAGCATACATCTCAAGATTGGTATGGCTAAGCATACCTTCTCGTCTTCCAGAATGCGCGCGAAGTAATACAGCTCCCGATTTCACGTTCCACATTGAGAATTTAACAAGCCCAGTTAAGGGCGCCGTGCAATTTTTAACTCTCTTCAAATAATAATATAATAAATATTATTATTTTATTTGCAATAATATAATTAAAATCCTCTTATTTAAAAATTAGATTATTATTAATTATTGAATTAATATTGTATATTATTTAAACGATTAATATAATCAATATATATTAATTCGAGTGTATAGCTCAATAGATTTAAATTTTATTCAAACTTTCCAACAAAATTAAATTAAATAGAATTGTTAAACTAAAATTAATTAAATTAATAAATAAAATAAAAAGTTAACCCAAAATTTGAAGCCTGATGTAGGCCCAAGAAGCCAAGCCCAATCCATTCACGAGTTTGAGTTGGAGTCATCAATGGGCTTGCAAGGCCCAAAATATGAATTCAATTTCTTTACTTAAAAAAAATTAAAAGAAAAAAAATAAACAAATAAACCGTGTAATTAAATAAATTAGTTTTAGAGAAATGCGAATTAAATTCAACATGTGGTGTAATTAATACCTCATCCATTTGAAAACTACTTATAAACCAATTAATAAATCACATAAATAATTCAAAATCTAAGACCTAGAAAATACCCATACCTACCTAACTACAAAAATATAATAATAATAAAAAGGAAAAAAATAATTAACTAATAAAAGCATTAAAATATTACCAATAGAACCTAATTTTAAAAAATAGAGTTAAAATTCAATTTAATTTATTTTATTTTTAAGATTATTACGAATTATTATTATTATTATTTTTGGTTCAATTATTCTCAACGGTCTCAATTACCGTTGCATTTATGTTACTTAATTTAATGCTTCCTTTTCATTACATTATATTTGCTCTTTTACTCATTTTCCCCTCTCTTTTCTTCAATGCTCGAACCGTCTCTTTAATTCCTTCCTTATTTTTTTCGTTTTTTCCATCTCTATCATAATAAATTTATTTATATATATTTCCACGTAATATTTTTAATAACCAATTAATTTTTTAAATTAATTCTTAATTAAACTTTTAAAAAATAATTTTGATGTAAAAAAAAAAAAAAAAAGTAAAAAGAAAACATTTGGTACTTGCAGTTAACCGCTGGTTTACACAGTCCTTGTGCTAAAAGAAGGGAGAGAAAATTCTGTCGTTATCCCGAAACTATCCCTCTCTCTTTCTCTCTCTAAAATCCTCTTCTTCCCTTCTAATTTCCTATTTAAGAAAATCTAAAAATTCCCAAAAAAAAAAATAAATAAAAACCCAACAGAGACAAATGCATTTAAAAGAAAAAGAAAAAAAAAAACTATGTGGAACTCGTTTTCTCTCTCTAGACCTCCATGTTTGTTGTCTGTCTGTTTCTCTCTCTAGGATTGCCTGGTTTTAACGGCGGTGTTATCATGGAGAACATCGAGAAGGACAGTGCTTTTGCATTTCGGACATTTCGGGTCTTGTTCCGACAGCATCACGTACATCAAGCAACGTGGACATCCCACAAGCATCATCGTCGCCGCTTCAGGGCTGTTGGAATACGATCTCGCCGCCTCCGACGACACACATGAGCTCGGCGGAGACGTCGGCGACACGGTGGCTGACCGGTTCGGCGATTCCACTCCTCTGTTACCTCCTCCTCTCGGCGGCGACAGGTTCAGTTTCAGCTCCAGCTTCGGTGCACCTCCTTCTCTACTGTTTCTTCGATTCATCTTCAAATTATCTGCAAAAAATTCAAATGGGTTTTTCGTTAATTCGGGAATTTCTCGAACCGGAATTCTTAGATGATGATAGAACGGAAATTCGGGTCACCTGTGGTAAAAAAAAGTGATTTTGAGAAAAAAACAGGGGAGAATTTGTGAACTCTTGGGATTGCAGGGGCATTGATGCAAAGAAACAGGGGATTATTTATAAGGGTGAAGAACTGGGTGGGATTTGCTTTTGAGGGCTTATTTAATTTTTGTGGGGGTATTTATGAACTTGGTTGAAAATGAGGCAGCTATTGATTGTGAGAATTACAAAATTTTACCAACACATTTTACTGCACACAAACAAATAAATTAAGGTATTCAATTCTTATTAATTGAGGTAAATTTATTACCAACTGAATTGGTTAAAAATTTCGAATATTTACCAGCTGACGTAACATGACTGCCTTCTTTTTATACCATTTCGCTAAAATTTTCTATTTACTTTTACCGTATAAATCTTTGTAAAGATATTTTTAAAAAAACATTTCTTTAAAATAATCTTAAAATGTAATTTATATTAAAATACGTAAAATATTATCATAAATCCAATAATATTTTAATTTCTAAAAATTAAATTTCTATATTACAATATAATTTCAACCTTTTCTGATTTGAGTTAAGGCATTTTTACTCGCACGTGGTAAATAAAAAATAATAATAATAATAAAATATAGTCAATTTGAACCTAACTCAATTAATTAAATAATTAATTTCAAGTTATTTTTAGAGTTAAAAAGACTTTGTCATATATATACCATTATGTTTACATTTGTTTATTTTAATTTTTACATATTAAAGTTTTAGTTTTACTAAAAATAAAAGTTTAAATAAATGGTTTGAATCTAAATCCGACTTAATCCATATCATCAACGCCTATTAATTATTATCTAGGGACCAAACATAGACATCAAGAAATTCAAATGAATTAAATAAAAAAAGTATTAATTTCATTATTCATACACTTTTCTCGTGTTTATTAATAAATATTATAAATTATAATAAATTTATAAACAATTTGCTTTTTTTTTTTTTCCTTTTTTTATATAATATTATAATTGTGGAAGTAAAAATTTTAATATGTTTTAACGATTCTAAACGGTAATAAACAAAAAAATCATATTAAAAAATTTAGAAAAAAAAATCGAATGAAGAAAGGAAATAGTTAATTGTAAGGTAAAGTACCAACTTAGATCTACGAACTAGAGTAGTATGTAGGGTTGGAGACCCACGAGGCTGGAGTTATGAGTTTCGATCAATTATATATTTTTATAATGAATGTTCATGCCTGAGCATTAAATTTTACCTTATATAAGTAGGGTATGACTATGTATAGTCGCTAACTTTCATACCTTTTAAAAACATAAATTTCCTTGCAGTGAATGATCATTATCTTGACAATAAGTTTGTCTTAGAAATCTGATTCATAACCCGAGCAACAACCTAATACCTCCAAACCTTTGTGAAGAATGGTCTTCATTTATGCATTAAATTTTATCTCATATGAACGAGACACGTTCATCACTCAGTCTCAATCAATTTATGTTTTGAGAAAATCCTTTCTCTTTGCATGGAATAACTTTCATTTTATCATTAAATTTGTCTTCACATAAGTCGAATCCGACCCGTGTCGGCTTCAACCAAGTATTAGCCTCTGGTTGGCTTCGACCCTTATTTGGTTGACATATTTCTCTAAATTACTCTATAAAAACAATAAATTAAGTCACAAAATAAGAGAGTTCGAGTATAGAACATTAAATTGTTCACAATCCGACCAAATCCCTCTAAATCTTGACTCGGTACTATGCATTCAATTAACATAACCCTCTTTTTACAAAAAAAAAAAAAAAAAAAAAAAAAAAAAAAAAAAAAAAAAAAAAAAAAAAAAAAAAAAAATNTATTTGTTATTATTTTTAACCAATAAATTCGTTTATATATTACAACGGAAATGTTAACAATAATACATTTTTTAAAAAATTAAATGGTATAATTCGACAATAAACCAATTAATAAAGTATACAATATTTAATCATGAAAATAAATAAATAATAAATAATATTAGAAAAAGGAGGTGCATGATAATAAATAGCATATTGAATTTACTACGCTTTATAAATCCAAACATCTCAATACCAAGCATGCCCTCAAAACCAGCGTACATAAAAAACATAACTTTAATGCCCGACCAATATTTATTCGTTCTTTAATTATTTTAATTAATTAATTATTTATTTATTTCCCCTAGGGTAAAAGTAAAAAAATTTTGTTTGTTACTGAGTGAATATGAAATATTACTGGATTATACCGTACTTCCTCTGACAATTTTTTAAATCAAAATTAATTTAAAATTTAAAATCCAAATAGGTAATACCGTCATGTTGTAACCATCATGTGTCCTATCCATTTGAGTAATATTGAGACATGAACTCTCTTATGTTTATGTGAGTTGTTTCTGCATCGATCAATGGCTTTATGTACCAACCTCCAACTCAAGGGGCAAGGTATACTATCAGCACACTCGTACCATCCAATATTATCCTTAGAAATTCATTTCTAAATGATAATACTTAAGATAGTCGTCTTGTATTGCTCACTCATACTATGACGTACGTTTGTGTCATGGGTAGTTTTGTGAGATCCCACATTGGTTTAAGAGGAACAAAACATTTCTTATAAGAGTGTGGAAACCTCTCCCTAGTAGACGTGTTTTAGAATTGTGAGACTGACACAATACGTAATGGACTAAAACAGACAATATTTACTATATGTGGGTTTGAGCTGTTACTAGTGGTATCGGAGTAAGACATCAAACAGTGTACCAGCGAGGATATTGGGCCCTAAAGAGATGGATTATGAGATCACACATCGTTTAGAGAGAGAAATAAAGACCTTATGAGGTAGTGGAAACATCTCCCTAGTAGGTGGTGTACCAACGAGGATATTGGGTCTCACGGTGGGTGGACTGTGAGATCTCACATCGGTTGGAGAGAGAAAGAAAGCCCATCTTATAAAGGTGTGGAAACTTCTCTATAGACGCTGACAACGATACGTAACAGACCAACGCGGACAATATTTACTAGCGGTGAGATTGAGTTATTACAAGTTTACTTACGACATTGTGGAGTAATATTTTAAGGTTCGATGGACGAATCTTGATTTCGAATATTAGGCATGACGTATTACGAATCCAAATTATTTTATCTAATTTAATTATGATTTAATACATTTCATTTATTAAAAACATTAGTATCATAGTTGTCTCCAAAGTTATGATGAAATTATTCATAATAATTTATAGTTCATAAAAATTTATGGATCATAGCATTAAAGGATGGGCTGTTTTGTAATTAATTGCTTTTAGTCTGATGGGATATCCAAAATTTATTGTTTATTAACTAACGCGCGCGCGTGGCAGCGCCAATGAGCCGCTTTTTTTCGCCTGAATTATTATGATTTATGATCCCTAATATTTGTACAATTATTGTCAATTTTATTAAAATAAACTAATGATTAATTAATTTCCTAACAATATCTTAACTAAAATTAATTAGTTAATTATGATTAGTTGGTTTAAAATTCCTTTTGTTATTTTATTATTTTACTCTATCAAATATTTACCATTAATCGTTTATATAACTTTATTAAAATTGTTTATTTCAAGATAATTATTTTATAACTTTATTTATTTCAAGTAAGATTGATGGTAAAATTTAAGGTTTAAATTATTTAAAATTATTTTAATAAATTTATTAATGACAATAAAATAATTAATAACATTAAATAGAAAACTACCCCTAAAAATTCATGATCTCTTTTATTTTGTTTTTAAAGAACAATTATTTACCAGTTTTGCTTTCAACCTCTGCATTTAACTTCTCACCATAAATTTATGCCCCAAATTTCTTTAAAAATTATAATAATAAAAAACAAATTCCCTAATTTTCATTTCTATATTTTATACACATAAATAAATTTATTTTTTAATTACTTTTAAAAATTAATATATATATTTTTAAAAAACCAAGTTTGGTAGGTTTTTTTTTTTTTTTTTTTTTTTTTAATTTTAATGTAAATTACATATTAATTCTGATAAAAGTACTAGATAATTTTTTATTTCATGTCATATAATCAATGGCGATATAAATATTTATGTTTATTTTTTATATTATTAATTTTTTTTTATTAAAACATTCCTTATTTACCACTATATATATATATATATATATATATATATATATAAAGTAAAAAACAATATATTTTAAAATTTTATATCAATTATAGAAAAATTGTAATCGCCTAAAGCCATGTTATTCAGGCCCAAGCCCATTAAGGATGGAAGCCCAACGTGAAATGATCGCACGTGAGGCCCAGCCCACATATTGCTGTCCTCATTCTTGATTTATTGTGTAGGCCCAAAAATTGTATAAATCTAGCGGCCCAAAAATGAAAGATAAAATTAAGTTTCTTGATTTAAATAAGGTCTAATAATTGACACTTCCAAATTACTCTTCTTCTTCTTCTTCTTCTTCTTCTTCTTCTTCTTCTTCTTCTTCTTCTTCTTCTTCTAGACCTGTTTTTGCTCTTAGAGCAGACATGGATGCCCTTCCTCTTCAGGTACTCACTCTCTTTCTTTATCTCTTTCCATCACCTCATCCATGAGTATCCAGAGCTGGAGGTTGTTGGCTATGCTGTTTCTAAAACAAGGCATAGAACAAGGTGGTTATGTTTGAGAACATTTTGAAGCCTTAATCAAGTTTCAAAGACTAAAAGAAGACTATATTTCATCCATAATAATTTGAGTGGCTGTAGTAGAAAATGAATCAAATGTAGTATAAACAAAGATGAAACCGGAAAATGGCATACAGATCAAATACAATGGAAGAAAGTAATTTGTCAAAAGTAACTTAGGAAAATGTAAAGCAAGCAAAAGACATTGATTCTAAAAAGCTTTATATTTTGCTACTAAAACTGAGATGACTTCATACATATCCATACCATATCAAGAAACTGCTTCAACTAACCTTATTGCTTTCTATCCTTGCTCTAAGGTTTGATAATATGTGAGATCCCACGTTGGTTGGAGAGTTGGAGAGGAGAACGAAACATTCTTTATAGGAGTGTGGAAATCTCTCCCTAACAGAGGCGTTTTAAAAGCCTTGAGGGGAAACCCGAAAGGAAAAGCCCAAAGAGGACTATATATGCTAGCGGTGGGCTTAGGCGGTTACATAATCCATGGGTATTTACTTTCTGCAAAATTAAAATTCAACCTTGCAAATTGTTGTTATCAATAGTTCATCATGCCACGGAGTGCAAATTGATGAACAGTTCTCTTCTTCTAATATAATTTTGAAGGAACTGGTAGAATGGGAATTCAAAAGCAAGGTAGAAGGTAAAATGCATTCCCATGGCCATGATTCACATGTTGCTATGCTATTAGGAGCAGCAAGGTTATTACAGAGAAAAATAGAGAAACTGAAGGTAACAACTTTCATACTTAGAATTGTAAATCCTGTTTGTGCAATTCTGTTACCTGGGGAGGGGACTGATCAGGATTGTTTGTATATGTTGTTATTTGAAGGGAACTGTGAAGTTAGTTTTCCAGCCAGGAGAAGAGTGTAATGGAGCTTATCAATTGCTACAAGAAGATGCCCTTGACGATATAGATGGAATCTTTGCATTGCACGTCTTGCCCACCTTACCAACCGGTGTCATAGCCTCGAGGCCGGGTCCAGTATGTGCGGGAGCAGGACACTTTTCGGCCTTGATACGAGGAAAGGGTGGCCATGCTGCAGCCCCACATAAGACGAAGGACCCAGTTCTGGCAGCAGCTTTTATAATTCAAGCTCTTCAACAAATTGTATCTCGTGAGACAGATCCTCTTGAGGCCGGAGTAAGTTTTGCGCCCTCTAAACGAAGTCCCTAATCTTCTCCGTTTGTTAGGATCATAAAAACAGAATAACATGATTAACTACTCATCAAGATTCAACACTTAAAGGTCATGCATAGCTAGGAAACTTGCAAACATGGTCGTAGTTAACTAATACTCAGCAATGTAGGTGGTGACTGTTGCATTTGTTGATGGAGGGCAAGCAGATAATGTCGTTCCCGAAACCGTGAAAGTTGGAGGAACTTTTAGGAGCTTATTGTCACGGTCATGCCCGTCCAGGGCGTGTTGCCCATGGCCGCATGCCCATGACAAGCCAAACCCTTGTCATGTCTTTTCATTCTAGTGTTTTTACTTTTGTAGTTCTAGGGCGTATGACGCCTCAAAAATATCATGTCTAGGCCTGCCAGACATGAAATGCCTCAGAATGTACTATAGGGGGATATGACTAGTTGTCAACTTCTCCCTACCCAAGGTTATATATGCTAAGCCGTTGTTATCTCTCTCTTGCTTACTTATATAACGTCTCTTTCAAAAATCTCTCTCTACCCTCGTTTTCTAAAATCTTCTTTTAAAATCGAGGCTAGAGGCTCGATCATACGTCGCTTGGCCGTAGGCAACGCAAGAACAAATTGGCTTAGCTCACTTGTCGTTGAAAAGTGAGTGCCGCACAATCGCTAGTCCACTGCCTTCAAAAGTGCGATTGTGTCACTTATCTCCTAAGGGTCTCTCTTACCTCAAGGAAAGGATCAGAGAGGTATAACATGCATTACAGTTGATGAACTTAAACAAATTCCTATATTACTTTTGAAGCTGGAAAAAACTAATTCCTTCTCAACAGGTCATCAACACGCAAGCAGTAGTGCACCAATGTTATGCTTCAGTGGAGTTTATGGAGGATACACCAGTAATGGTTAACAATGTGGCATTGTTTGAGCATGCAAATAGGGTAGGAAATAGCTTACTTGGAGAATCCGATGTGCAACTCCTTCCATGGACCATGGGAGCAGAAGACTTTGGCTTCTTGTCACAGAAGATTGCAGCTACCATATATGGGATTGGGATAAGGAATGATACTCTGAGATCAAACCGGCCAATGTACTCACCGCACTTTGTCCTTGATGAGGAGGCCCTTCCAATTGGAGCAGCTCTTCATGCTGCTGTGGCTATGTCTTACTTGGAACACAACTGTGTTGTCAGTGATTAACTTCAATTTCAGTTCTGTAAGTAAAATACTATGTGAGGAACAAAACATGCCATAGTTAGTATGCACATATTTTTCCAAAATAAAGAGAATTACACTTCATTACTACTGAAAGTTTAAGGAGCTCTTATTTGGTCATTCTTTCTAGAACAGTACAACATGCTTTAAAACATTAACGACAATCTCGTCTTACCGGTAGCATATTTCACCACATACGACCGAAACATTTCTGCAAAAATGAATATTTCACCAATTAAACCAATGTGTGGGGAAAACAATAAGCTGAGTTAACCTTTTTACCCATGCTGAATTCCATTATAGCAATGATATTGATAGTCTAATAAATGAAGATGCGAGTTAGATCAATGCTGGTGCAGTTTAAATTGCAGACAACGTATAAACAATGTGTTCGATTAAATCCAGCTGCAACCGGGTATTTTTCTGATCCCTCTTTCACTCATTTGATTTCTTACAACAGACACATCCAACCACCTTTCAGCTGCAGCATAGATATTGGATAATAGCACATAATTAGCAGCATTTTGAGGCTCAAGCTCAATTAGTCGAGATGCTACCACTTCTGCAAGCTCGGAATTGGAATATAATTTGCAGGCGCCAAGCAGTGCACCCCATGCACCAGCATGAGATTGAGCAGGCACGGATTTAATGAGCTCATAAGCTGCTTTTAGTCGCCCAGATCGACTAAGAAGATCAACAATACATGCATAGTGATCAGGAGAGGGAACCATGGAGTATTTACTCATCATGATTTCAAAGTAATGCCAACCTTCATCCACAAGTCCAGCACGGCTACAAGCTGTTAAGATGACTGTGAAGGCTACTTCATCGGGAGTTAGAGCTTCACCAAGCATCCTCTCGAAGAGTGACACAGCCTGATCTCCACGCCCGTGGATTGACAACCCTTGCATTACAGAACAATAAGAAATCAGATCCCTTTTAGGCATTTCTTCAAACAGATCCATGGCTCGCTCCATGTTCCCACACTTAGCATTCATATCGATTAGAGCAGCCCTAACGTGAGCCCCACGAAGATCAACTAAACACTTGCAAGCATATGAATCAGCCCATTTGGCCAAATCCAAATTGCCCACTTGGGAACAAGCTGACATTAAGCTAACCAATACAAACTCATCAGGTTTCACATTCCTAGAACCCATTTCAAGAAAAGTCTTGACTGCCTCATTTGGCTGACCATTTTGTGCATATCCAGATATCAAAGCCGACCATGCGACAATATCCCTTCCAGGTGCCTTTTGAAATAAATTCCTGGCAGAAACCATGTCGCCCGCTTTTGCATACCCATCGATCATTGTTGTGAAAGACACAACATTCTTCTCTGGCATTTCATCGAACACCTTCTCAGCACTCTTTAAATCACCCATTTTCATGTACCCACCAATAGTTGCATTCCACGACGCCACATTTCTCTCCGGCATCGAGTCAAAAAGCCTCTTCGCCTCCACCAAATTCCCAGTACTCGAATACCCAACAATCATAGCTGTCCAAGAAACCACATTCTTCTCTGACATTCTATCAAACACCTTACGTGCACACTCGATTAACCCACCCTTCCCATACAAATTCACCAAACTCGTCGTAACATATAAATCCTCATCAACGCCACATCTCAAAATGGATCCATGAAGGGCCATACCTTCCCTCACCTTTCCCTCACTTGCACAAGCCTTTAGAAGCGAAGGAAATGTATACCGATCAGGAACGCCCTCCTCCCTCTTCATACGCACAAATAACGAAATAGTATCTACAAATTGCAACTTCTCACAGTAGCCACGAACAAGAGTATTCCAAAGGAAGGTAGAAGGCGATAGAACACGATCGAAGACGGATGTAGAATATGAAACGTTGGCAATTGAGTTGGAAGTTGAAACGAATTGGGTCACAAGGAAATGATCTTGCTCAAGCCCTTTCTGGACGAGACGAGCATGGAGTTGCTGGAGGTCGATGGGGGTCTTGCAGAGCTTGAGGAGGTCGGAAATCGGGAAAAGAGAAGCATTGGACTTCGGCTTGCTGGTGTGGCTGTGGATTGTAGCAATGCTGAAGCAAGAGAATCGGCGAATACATGGCGGCATGGCCGCATTGGCTAGTGAACGTCGAAAATCTTCCTACAAAAATATATAATTTTAAAATTTTGTTAAAAATATAGAAAGCAAAATAAAATTATATTTTAATAATTAAATTATAAATTTAGTCATAAACTCTGTAGAGCGCAGTATTAGAGGGAAATGGGACTGTGGCTAAACCCTCTCCCGCGCGGACAGCTAGGAACTAGCGCCTGCTACTTCGTCGCCGGTTTCTCCTTCTTCGCCGTCGGAGCTTACCTCTCTTACGTCAATGTCGGCCCTCAGCAAGCTCGAACTAAAGCTCGTAGCGATTTTGTCAGGGAGCGGCTGAGAAGGCGTCACCACGATTAAACTCGATCGATTTCTTCCGGTGAGCGTTCAACCTAATCTCTTGTATTTATGTTCAATTTTGTAGTCGAACCTCGATATTCTTGTGGATTACATCAGAAATTAACTCCTCATTAGGTGAGATTTAATGTTAGGTCGTTCCTGATTCTTTGGCAATTTGAATAGTTTGTAGAAGGATTGGAATGCCTTTATCTTTTGAGTTTTTTTCTTTATTCTCTACGAATCGGATGGTTTTTCGAGTTTGTCTCCGTTTTCCATGCTGTCTTTGAAGTCCTTGTTCTCGAACAGCGACTGAAAGCACTTCTCTGTTCTCGAATTGTGGCGTTTAGATTTAATTGTTAAAGGACGTGACCTCACTAATTCGGAACCAATTATACTGTATGTTCGACGATGAATTTGAAAGACCTCACTTCCGTAGGAATCCAATTTCGTAAACCTAAGATCCTCTGATTCCCTCCCTCCTTTAAGAACGGAAGCATGAAATCGTGGAGTGACTTTGATCCCCTGGCTCTTATTCCATCGATGGGTACGGACTCCATAGCTCATAGGTATTATTGAGGCGATAAGTAATACCTTTCTTTCCTTTCACTATATATCCTTGTGTTAGCTCCACTTTCATCTCTTCCATTTCGCCATTTAAGGAATCAAGCCAGGCCACCAAGTTGAAACAAATTTCATCGCAATTAAACTACCAAGACGAGTACAGTTCTTGCAATCTGTCTCATTAAGATCTACACCAGGTTGTTGAGATTAGTCCTTTTCAACTAATGGAGCATTAAGCTTCTGAATAAAATTGGTTCTTTGTATATAGTCTTGTAAATCCATTTTAAGCCAATTGCATCTTTTCTTGAAGTAGATATTGAAGCTCTTATATTTTATTTCTTTCACTGTTGTCAATTTCTTCCTCTATAGCTTTCAATTTGAATTTCTTTTTCTACACCTTCAAAATTTTGTGATTCGTAAGTGAACGTGATCACATGACAAATACAAATAGAACAAGTTTACTCAGATACGTGATAATGTTTCAGTAACCTTCCTCTGCTTGTTTTTGAATGAAAGGGAGGTTTGCTTGTTTCTGCTAATATGTTATCTAACCTAAGTAGAGAATGACAGGTTAGAAAGTAGGTAGAGTTCATTAGTGAGATCTCGTATCGGTTGGAGAGGGGAACGAAGCATTCTTTATAAGGGTGTGAAACCTCTCCCTAGTAGATGTGTTTTAAAACCTTGAGGGGAGGCCCTTGAAGGGAATGCCCAAAGAGGACAATATCTACTAGTGGTGGACTTGGATTGTTACAAATGGTATCAGAGCCAGACAACGGGTAGTGTGCCAGCGAGGACGCTTGTCCTCAAGGGGGGTGGATTGTGAGATCCCACATCGGTTGGAGAGGGGAACGAAGCATTCCTTATAAGGGAGTGAAAACCTCTTCCTAGTAGACGCGTTCTAAAACCTTGAGGGAAAGCCCTTGAAGGGAATGCCCAAAGAGGACAATATCTACTAGCGGTGGGCTTGGGCGGTTACAATTAGTGATTAAGTGAGCCTTCTGTTTGTATAGATCAAACGAGAATATTTAAGAAGTAGAAAAGACTGAACACACGAAACTTCAACTGGGATGAAACATGTTTCTAGTTAAGATCGTATGCATTTTTTGAAATTTTGTCTCTTTTCATTTGGCTTCTTTTGGTTGTATTAATTTTTTCAGGTCAATAAAGATTGCTCAAACTCGGAGAACACAGGTATGATCTTTGATGATGGAATGAAAGGAACAAAAGTATAGAGGTTGGTACTGAAGTTTCAGAGCGCTTAGACATAATGAATTTCTGGGCACTACAACATAACTATAGGTTATCTTCAGGTTATATTTAGTTGATTCTGATGGATTTTGGTAAAAATTCTGATAGTTGTAATGACCCAACTTTTTATACTCTAGTCGAGATCATTAATAGTTCAAAATTATAGAATTATAGACCGATACCTTTTAAGAAAAGTTTAAAAGACATGTTAAGTAGTTGAACCACTTATAACTATGTTCTATAAGGGAAATCATTAAATTCTCGAATTGTTTCTTTACCTCTGTGTCACGGTCTTGTTTGAAAATCATTAAAAAAAAAAGGTATTTATAAAAAGATGAGTATTAAAAATTATAGGATTAGATGTGCAAATGATTATATGACTAATCAAACGAATTCAAAGGAGCTTAGTGGATAATTATTCACACGTCCTGTAGGTAATCTTTTTCACAAAATCGTTTTCATCGATGACCGTTACAATTAGTATCTCAATCATAACAACTAATAAATTCCAAAAATACAAGAGTTTTTTTAATCTCCCAATAGCCATCAGTAATTTAAAAATAATTTTTTTTTATGAGACCAGAGAATAGAAATTAAAAGTTTTATTCATGTACTTGAAGTTTTAATTTGAATATAATTGAATCTTTGAACTCTTTACAAAATCTTTTAATTTTGAATTCAGATTTTCAATTTTTAAAAAACAATTCAAATTTGAAATGTTTAAGAGATAAATATAGACGATTAAATTATTCCAGATTTAAATTAAAAATATCTCATCCAAAATTTTAAAAATATAATTATCTTTATATAATTTTATTAAATCTAATTTACTTGAATTAAATCTATTTCAATTTAATCTCGTAATGATCCTAAAAACTATTTCCCTAAAATTTCGACCAACAGTCTTTTAACCTTTTATTTAGACTTTACTATGACGATGGATTTACTCTTTTAAGATTGCTTCAAACTAATTTCTCCCCTCGGGAAGAGAATCACTAACATAATATCCCTTTTTCTTTCAAAGTTCAACCCGTAGTGATTTACAATATATAACTTAACTAATTAACCTATGCTCGATTTGATATCCGAATCGTGAAAGTAATGTATAGCTTAACCAATTAACCTATACTCATTTGATATCTATTTGAATTGTCAAATTGTGAAGTAATCCTAGCTTAACCAATTAACCTATACTTATTTGATATCTATTTGAATTGCCAAATTGTGAAGTAATCCAATTATAGATATCTTCGTCAATCCAAAAAAAGTCCAAATATAAAAAGTTAAGGACTATAATAGTACATCAGTTTGAAGGTCACTTTCAAAGCATACGACCATCTTACTTGCTTGTTTTCTTCACCATTTCTCTATCAAAATCTGCAAACTACAGATGAATTTCCATGAACAATATTGAATAATGATGAATATGGTAAGGTAATATTTGATTTCATTTTCATGAACAAAGTGGTTTTGATTTTGATGGAAGGAAATTATGTGGATTAAAATTGTTTCCATTTTCTGTGGGGAAAAAGTCAACTGGTTCACCCCCCTATAAAGACTGGCCATGCATTCCTAACTCCCAATTGTTTGATTTCTTTCAAAAATATAAATTCCTTTGTTCTTCCTCTTTCGATGGATATCCAAACGGAGCAACAACCCTTTTCACAAAGACCCATAATTCTTCTTGCTTTCCCCATTAACAGAACACTCTGTTTTGCTCTGTCTTTTCTTCTCCTCTCTGTTTCTGCTCTTTTCATCTTCAACTTCTCCGCCACTCCGTTCAATCACCAGTATTATGATCTCTTACGTTTGCATCAGTTCTTGTTGCAAATCTTTCCCAGAAACGGCCCGAGTTTTTCGTCGACGACGACGTCTCCGTTGCCGAGAGCTTGTGATTACTCCAATGGGAAATGGGTTTGGGATGAAAGTTATCCATTCCACTCCTATACTGAGAATTGCCCCTTTGTTGATCCAGGATTCCGGTGTACTCAGAATGGCCGGAAAGATGAAGGTTACCGGAAGTGGCGGTGGCAACCGGATGGCTGTGATATTCCCAGGTATGAACATGGCTATAGGCTACTGGTCTTGAAGTTATTTGGGAGCTTGAGTTTTTCATTTTTTACATACAGAAAGAAATTTTAGACTTTTAGTATAATCCTGGTTTGGAAAATATGAAATTTGATGTTGAGGAACCAAAAACGGTAATCTTGTTGGATCTTCCCAAAGAATTGGATCAACATATGGAAAATCTAGATTTTATTTTATGAAAAAAAATTCCAAAACAATCGAAATAAAAAATTAGTAATGAACTTGAGCGGTTATAAACAGTACCAAAGTCAAACACCAAATGGTGTGCTAATAAGGATAAATGGTATCAATGTCACACAGAGCAGTATGCACGAAGACAAATAGTATCAAAGTCAAAACACTAATCGGTGTGCTAATAAAGATCCTGAAGGGAAAGACGACTCAGATTAAGATTCAAATCATTGCAAAGAAATTTTGTTTAAAAAATAGTTTAACAACACTTACAAGTGCACCACTAAGTTTTAAACCATTACATCCTTAATAGCCCATCTGGATTAGCATTATTATTATTTTAGCATGACTGTGAAGGTTGAATTTGGCTTATAAATAATGTCAATTATTGAACATTGCTCAAACAAACCATCTTAATCTATAATATATTAACATTCTAGATGGTTTGACTATCATTTTAATAAAAAAATTGTTTATGCAATAAGTTCATGTCCACTACCTGTATCTGATATGGTTGACTATCGTGATTTGAACTCAAATTCATATCCGTTTTTTTGTTCCAACCTTAGATTTAATGCAAGTGAGCTGCTGGAGAGAACTCGAAACGGGAGGATTGTGTTCGTTGGCGATTCCATTGGAAGAAACCAATGGGAGTCACTGCTATGCATGCTAACACCTGCAGTTTCAAACCTTTCAACGATATATGAAGAAAATGGGAAGCCAATAAACAAGCACAAGGGGTTTCTCAAAATGCGATTCCAAGAATACAATCTTACAGTTGAATACTACAGAGTTCCTTTTCTGGTGATCATCGGCCGACCTCCTCCGAACTCATCCAGTGAAGTTAACGCTGCCATTCGAGTTGATGAGATGCATTGGTTTTCCCAGAAGTGGGTTGGTGCAGATATCTTAATTTTCAATGATGGCCATTGGTGGAATGAGTTCAAGACTGTTAAAATGTATGGCTTCAATCTTCTCAACCTACTTTTGACCCAAATTTCAAAAATAAAAAGCTAAATTAGAAAAAAATCCCAGAAATGTTCGTAAATGTTTCAAAACTACACTTTGGAAGAAAATTTTATTAGGATGTTGAACAGAAAAGCGATGTGGCCAAATGTCTTTCTTCTTGACTTAATCAAGACAGGATCTAAGAAACTGCTACGTCACTCCAAGTCAACGCCACATCAACTTTTTGTTGAACATTTTAATAAGTTTTACTTCACAAGAGTATTTTTCTAAGTTAGCCTTCAATGAGCTTGACTAAGACAACATTTCTAGGAAAAAAGGAAGAAATAGAATCATTTCAGTGAGTAATACAAGTGTCAAGACCATATCAATATGATATTAGAGGTTTCTAATCTAGAAGTAAACAGTTGATCAGATTACTGCTTTTGAGATCAATCAAGGACACATAGACCTTCATTTCTATCCATCAATGGGAAAAAAATACTATAGAAGACATCCATTTTTGTTTCAGGGGTTACTATTTCCAAGAAGGTGGGAAATTAAACATGAGTATGGATGTAATGGAAGCATTTCGGAGGTCACTGCAAACATGGAAGCGATGGGTAGAGGAAAACTTGGATCTAAACAGAACTCATGTTTTCTTTCGCAGCTATTCTCCTGTTCATTACAGGTAAATTATACTGTCATGAAATCTGTTGTTTATCAGAAATTAACAATGGTTAGTGGCTTTGTGAAACAAGCTTTTGACATAAACTTGCAGGGGTGGGACATGGAGTGAAGGGGGTAACTGTGACACTGATAAGGAGCCAGAAAGAGACTACAAAAAGCTGCAAGATGAACCAGAAAACAATATTTTCATTTCAGATGTAATCAAACAAATGAATTATGTAAAACATAAAGTTCAGTTCTTGAATATTACATATTTGACAGAATTCAGGAATGATGGCCACCCTTCAAAGAATCGTGAGAACGGCACATCTGATGAAGCTCCGCAAGATTGTAGTCACTGGTGTCTGCCTGGAGTACCAGATACGTGGAATGAACTTTTTTATGCTAATCTATTGTCCAAAGGATTCAGAAAGTAATGCTATGTACGTCCAAAGAAAAATAACTAATCTCATGTTTAGAACTCAGCTTCTTCCTCACATCTTTTTTACAATTTCAATTGATCATTGAAATTTACAAAGGATACAATATCCATGATGTACAAGACATTCCAATATTAACAATGAGGGAGGTATAACTATAGGAAGTAAAAATATTAGACACTTTACACTAGGATATACCTTGGTAAACAACATTGTCGAAGAGTTTTGTATAAATTTGTGTCTTTTCTGCAAATATTCTTTGATTTCTTTCTTTCCACGGGTTTCAAAAGAAAGCTATGATGAGATTTTTCCATTGTAGGACTTTTGCATTCTTGAAGGGTGGAACGTTAAGGCCATATTCAAACGATCCTTTTTACCTCCCAAGGAAATATGAGATGCTATCCGAATATATTAAGAATCGTTGTCCAAAATTTCTGAGCGTATGTCTATTGCATAAATAAGTGGCTTTGTGATTCGTTAATGGCTTTTTGAAGACACGGTGGTCATGTAGGACAATCTTTATGAAGATTTTCATTTGTGATAATGGCTTTTTGTGCTATTTCCCAAATGAAGAACTTCATCTTTTTAGGGTGATGTCCTTTCCAAATTATCTTTGCTAGTTGTGGGATTTATTGCTTCTATTTTTTCCCCTATGTCCATCAAAAGGATTTTATAGAGAAGACCCCGTCAGCGAGGGGAGCCAAGTTAATGAGTTTGCTTCATTTGACAATGCCACAGGGGCAAGGTCAAGACTTACTTTTGCCTATTCTGTTGCTTCATTATCCTTTAAGTTTAAGTTCCTACCTAGCTTCAGGTCCTAGAATTTGTTGACAACATTCACGTTTCTTTTATCAT